TATATTTTTGTTACAGTGCCCCAACAGGAGTTATTTAACCCGATCTTAAGTTTATTTTAAAAGAGTGGAGAAGGATGGGCAGACTGTTTACAATTGCTTCTCATGGATTTACTCAAATGAACAGACTTACATTAGGCACAACAAAAAGCAAATATTGTTTGGGGTGGGTGTGGGGGTTGAGGGGGAGGCAATGGCTTAGTGGTATTATTGCTAGATGATTGATCCAGAAACTCAGCTAATGTTCTGGGGACCTGGGTTCAAATTCCACAATGGCAGATGGTGGAATTTAAATTTAATAAAAGAGGCTGGAATTAAGGGCATAATGATGATCATTGTCAATTGTCAGGAAAAACCCATCTGGGTCACTAATATCCTTCAGGGAAGAAAATCTGCCACGTTTACCTGGTCTGGCCTATATGTGACTCCAGACCTACAGCAACGTGGTTGACTCTTAACTGCCCTCTGGACATTTAGGGATGGCCAATAACTGCTAGCATAGCCAGAGATGTCCACAAGTGAGTGAAAACAAAATGGGCAATCTAGGCATAAAACATTTTATAGATTCCCCAAATCCAATTCAATTTTAGTTCTAACCTTTATGTTAGTACATTTGGTATAAATATGGAGCAGTGTTCCCCCTAAGCTGTGCAGTCACTTCAAGGGTCCACACATGCTGCAACATTCCCTTCTGGTTTCTCTAGCTGCTGCTGTGCACAGACCTCTGTCCAATATCTGGAGAAATTAAAGGGAAATTAGATGTGGAGATGTGCAGAGAAACAAATGTGCAGAGTATTTCTTAAATATTAAGAGTTTGGAAAGTGTAACTGTGAGGTGTGAAGCATGTGAGTATCAAGAGTAGTGAAATCTTGCTTATTTGTGTAGGTGCTTGCTTAGACTGCTGGAGCAGCATTCCCTCTAAATTTCTTAGCGGTTGTGTCAGCCTTCTAGGCATAGAACATTGAAGTGGCTGTGCATGCACACAGCACACAGCTTAGAGGGAACATTGACCTGGATTATTATGTGCAGTTTTGGCCTCCTCACCTCAGGAAGGATTGTTGCCACAGAGGGAGTCGTGTGAAGACAGATTGGACAACTGAGCCTGTATTCTCTAGAGCTTCAAAAAAATGAGAGATTATCTCACCAAAACCTACAAAATACTTAAAAAGGATAGACGGGGTAGATACAGGTAAGATGTTTCTCCTGGCAGGGGAGTCTACAATCAGGGAGCACAATCTAAAAGTAAGGGTGTTGCCATTTAGGGCCAAGAAGAGGAAAAATTTCTTTACTCAGAGTGTTGTGAAGCTTTGGAATTCTCTATCCCAGAGTTTTATGGAAGCTCAGTCTTTGAATATATTTTAAGTAGAGGTTGATAGACTTCTGATCACCAAAGATGTGAACAGTTATAGGGATCGTATGAGTACAAGTCATTGAAGTGTTTTGAGCATATTAAATAGTAAAGCAAGCTTGACGGGCTGAATGGTCTACTCCTGTTCCTATGTTTGTTTTAAGCATATTGACTTAACTGGATCACTCTAAGATTTGAGTTTAGGAACCACAGAAAGCGAAGATAGTCAGTTGAGTTTTCACAAGTAATTTTGAGATAGTTTATTATGAAGCAAAGTTTTATGTGATGTATGAGCTAAATAGCCCAGAAAAGTATACAACTCATGAGAGCTGAGTGGTTCACTGATCCCAAAAGATCAACAGATGCTTGGTACAGATGGTGATTGCTGTAGCTTGTGATGGTAGTATTCTACTCTTGAACTGAATTGTTAGGGAACTCTTCTCCTGATCTTCCTCTTGGTCCATCTTTTACCTGAAGAATTTGTCTGCCTCTCATTTATTGCCTCCTGTCTCAAGCATGTTAACTCACTTTATTTCTAAGGATTGATAGTTTAGCCCATGTTAATCATTTGAAGTTTTCTAAGCAAGGTACTCCGTCCTCCCTGGACTGACCTATCTCCTCCCTACCTCCCCACCTACACTCACCTTTATTGGCTCCATCCCCGCCTCTTTGACTGGTCTGTCTCCTCCCCACCTATCTTCTCCTCTATCCATCTTCTATCCGCATCCCCCTCTCTCCCTATTTATTTCAGAACCCCCTTCCCCTCCCCCATTTCTGAAGGAGGGTATAGGCCCGAAACGTCAGCTTTCCTGCTCCTCTGATGCTGCCTGGCCTGCTGTGTTCATCCAGCTCTACACCTTGTTACCCAAGATGTCAAGCAGGCCATCACACATCAACACACACGCACACACACACGCAAGTTCATTCTGAGAGTTTTCAGCTAGCTCTTATTCAACACTTGTCTAAATAGAAGGTTCCCCAACATCAGTTCAGGAATGTATATTGAGTCTAGTGACCTCAATATAGGGAGCACAATCTTTGTGAAAATTATCTTACAGTGTGTCTTGGTTCGTTAGTGTTTAGAATTGTTCCTGTTTTTACAGAGAAAGAATCAATGTTGTGCTTATTAATTCCATAATTTTATGAAAAGATTTGCTTACTCCATCTTTTCCTACCTCTCCCTCACCTTTGGCGTTAATGCATTTTCCTTAATGGGCTCTGCTTGTAAATTGAACAATTGGAAACACAGGTGATTTAACAGTGGTGTTTAATAGATGAAAATTGCCACAGGTGATTTACTTGTGGCAAAAGTTGTTTGCCTGTGTATGATACCACTTCCAAGCAAAAAAAAAGACTGGTTCTTTACCTTTGGTTGTCTGTATTGTCCTTGCCGGGCATTGAACATGATTTGATTAATTGGAAACATGGGTGATTATTGGTGAATGATAATGGATGAAAAGTACATGGGTGATTTGATAATAGGAATAAAGCAGTTCTATTGTATGTGAAAGCACTTCTTCCTGTAAAGTTTAAAATAAAGCAAAGAAATATCTGGTTGTTTAAGGGTTCTTGTGGCATAGAAGCAGTGCTCCTACCTCTGAGCTTGGAGCCCTAAGTTCAAGTCCTACTTGCTCAAGAGGTGTGTCATAACATCTCTGAACAGGTTGATTAAAAATAGATGCTAGCAAGTTTAAACAAAAACTGGTTCTCAGCACATACTGCAGGATTTCTCCCAGTTCATGAAAGTTACAATACTTCTGTACCGTTAGAAACATTCATACAAAGAAAACAAACCTGACAAGACGATATCCATGGTTTTTGTGTTTATTAATCACATTCAGCAAAATCATTTACAAAGAGACTCTGCTACAAATAGCCGAAATAAAATCCAGTAATTAAAAGCTGCTGCAAAGGTGGCTCTGAATGTTTCCATAGCTACTTTATCACTAAAGAAATACTTAAATATGATTTGTGTGCAATGACCCACTCCTTTCTGGATTTTTTTTTCTTTCTCACAGAAATAGTTTTCAGATGTACAGAAGCAAAATGCTTCATGTGCTGCCAAACCTGCTGAGTATTTCCAGCATTTTCTGTCTTTTTTTCAGCCACATAGACTGGCAGCTGTGCACAGTTTGAATGGACTATTTGAATGATCCATTAAATGGGCTTTAAAGCCTGCAGCATCATCCCACTTCACTGCTCATTAAATGGGTTCCGAAGTATGAAGTGGCACTATTTGTAATACATGTCAGTACTTTACATGGTAATTTACTGGTAATGAAAGTACAGGGGTGGAAGCCATTTACCGTGCTGTTCAGTCCGTATTTTTGACAGGCTAACAGGTACCATTGCAGATTTGTCAACACATAGTGATTATATTCCAATATGGCAAGGGCATTGTATATCTGGAGGCATTATGGATATATTACTTTAATTGCTAAAAGACAAAACTAGTTCTTGTTTGGCCCTGTCACGGATAATCGATCCTGATGATTGGCACAATCTAAAATATATTATGCTCCTTTCAGTGCCTAAGTTCTGCTCTTTTTAATTGATTTAATGATGTTTGACCATATACAATTTAAAAATACTTGCAGATAAAACAATGTTACTTTAGATTTCTTACACAAATATTTCAAAGTGGCACAACTAAATTGAAAAAAGGGTTAATAGAGAAAATCACAAAACAGCTCTATTTACAGCAAAGCATTCTATTGCATGGTACCAGATATGTCCCTTCAGGTGAATTATCAAAATAATGAGACCTGGTCAACCTATGCTGTATTGAAGGACACCATCAAGTCAGATGATCTAAGATTCCTGGTAAATATTTGATGTAGCCCATAAACCATTGCTAGACATAGGTATTTTATCACAATAATTGACTAGTAAGGGAAAGCAAAAGAAATTCTTTTTCATTGCAATTCCACCCCTCTTTATGTAGACACTAACAATACATGGCATGTTTATATTTCAGTTGCTGACTGCTCCTAGTTATTGATATAGAAAAAGAAACAAAAAGGCAGTATTATGTTTATTGATTTAAACGTTTTCCTGGTATTCAATGATGCTCTCATTTTTTAAATTCTTTAACAGTGTATTAATTTTGCACTAGTATTTCTGCAAGCTGAATCTCCAGATAGGTCTTTGTATTCAAGATACTTGGTTATTATAGACCATTAGGGAATCAACTTTTGTTAGCCTAGGTGTACAGTTTGTCAGTCGAGATCGCAATATTCAAGGGGAAACTTCTTGATTAGGATGAATTAATTTTTATTGAGTTAAAAAGATTGAGACAGGGAAGGTTGAGTACTGTTTATTGATTATATTGTGATGGGGTATTATAAGATTGTGGTTAAAATGAAATGGGTTAAAGTTGCTGGATGAGAATAAAGAAGAACTTACACAGATAGATAGACACCTTACAGTATGGAAGCAGGCCATTCGGCTCATTGAGTCCACACCAACCCTCAGAAAAGCATTCCACCCAGACCCATCCCATCCCTGTAAATCCCATGGCTAATCCACCTGGCCTGCACATTCTGGACACTATTGGCAATTTAGCATGGCCAATCCACCTAATCTGCACATCTTTGGACTTTGGGTGGAAAGCCACACAGACACAGAGAGAATGTGCAAGCTCCACATGTACAATCGCCCAAGACTGGAATCAAACTCACATTCCTGGCACTGACAGGCAGCAATGCTAACCACTGTGCCACCTATACTTAGGTAAAAGGAGATTGGAACTTTTCATAGTATGTGGTTGAGGTTGTTATATGAGATAATGCATGATTGTAGAATTCACCTGAGATGTCACAGAACTATGGGCAATTGGATCATTAAATGTACATTAATAGAACTGTTAGATAAAAATGGGATTGGGATTGTTAGGTGGGAGCAAGTTGAGGATGTTAAGCAAATGGTGTTGGGGTCTTTAGATGAGATTGGAAAATGTGGTAACAAGTTTGGATTATTATAATTGATGGTGGATATGAAGAAAAGGCAGAATAGAAACTCAGGGGAATTCGGGTTGTGACGGTTGCATGAGATGGAATTAAGAGATTTTACGAGAATGAAGTTGAGGTTTAAGAAGCGGTGGTATTATTTGATAAAATGAGTCTTAGGACCTATAATATAATTAAATTTAAATCACAATATTGGAGTCGTTCTAATGGGATTAGAATGTTTAGCTAAATATAAGGTTGAGATTTATCAGGTAATATGGGGCTATAATCATCAATTATAAAAGTTTTGGAATTGTTAAAAACTGGATTGAGTTTGGAAACCTAGGTTGAGATAAGCGTTCAACTGTTAATTGAAAATAAAGTGAGGATGAAACATCTTTCCACTAATGTTGAAAAATTGGATGATTGTTTATTATATTTAAAGATTAAAGTCGTCTATGTCATTATTCTGTTCGATGTAAAGCTGTCATTGTATCTTTCTGAAAAAAGACAGATGTGAGCTTGCTTCTATTGGATTATTAAGTAAATAAGAGATACTGTTGGTAGACTACTGAACATGAATGAAAATGTAATGAAATTAATGTTTCACTTCCAACAAACACGAAGTATAACAAATAACAAAAAATGGTTAAAAAGCTGGTTACCCCCTTTAAATAATAGTTTTGGAGATATTCTTTTGCCAAAATACTCCCACAAAGAAGCTGGTCATGCACTCCTTCTATACAATTTACAAACACTTGACTCTCCACGACAGCTCATTCTATTAAACACAGTGGATACGATCAGCATCAAGAGACAGATCATTCTGTTCACAGTCAGTATCCAGGGCTTGTTCATTCATGATTTGGACAGATTTAGGGCTGTTGGAAAAAGACGAGGATTTAGCAATGTGATTCGTGTGAGCCTTCATATCACTTCCCGGCACCTTGGTGTCCTGCATGTGTGCAGCAGCTTCATGTACCAGCATCTCATGATCCTGCTCAGGCTTGACCCTCAGATAAGCTTTCACTTTGTGATGTCTGGGTTTGCCCTCACTGTAATCAGTCACTCTGCATTCATAAGTGCCTTCATCTGAGGTTTTTATGGTGGACAATCGCAGTTTGTGAGAGATATTGCTTCCAACTACCTTCACAGCCTAGACAGAATTCAAAAGACAAGAAATGGCTTGTTAAATGATTTAGAAAAAAGAAATGAATGAAAAATAAAATAAGACCATAAAATATAGGAGCAGAATTAGGCTATTTGGCCCATCAAATCTGCTCCACCATTCAATCATGGTTGATAAGTTTCTCATTCACCTGCTTTCTCCCAAAAACCCTTGATCCCCTTAACTAATCAAGAACACATCTAATCTCTATTTTAAATACACTTAATGACTTGACCTCTGCAGCCTTCTGTGGCAATGAGTTCCACAGATTAGTCAGCTTCTGGTTGAAGAAATGCCTCCTCATTTCAGTTCTAAAGGGTCATCCCTTCACTCTGAGGCTGTGCCCTCGAGGCCTAATTTCTCCTATTAGTGGAAAAATCTTCTCCAAGTCCATTCTATTTATGCCTCTCAGTATTCTGTAGGTTGCAATCAGATCCCCCCTCATCCTTCTAAACTCCATCAAGCACAGATCTAGAGTCTTCAACTGCTCCTTAGATGAGAAACACTGCATCCCTGGACCATTCTTGTAAGTTCCCCACCAATGTCAGCACGTCCTTCCTTAGAAACAGGGCCCAAAACTGCTCACAAGATTCCAAATGCAGTCTGAATGCTTTTCTTTTAACAATAACAGGGTCATACTTGTTATGATTGACTTTTCTCAGCCTCATAGAGCATTACTTGAAACCAACTTAATTTGCCTCAAATAATTCATATTAGGTTTTATTATTTTAGTTTTGACAGCAAATTTAATTTGTTCATTGGCTGTTGTAATGAAGAAATATTTCAATGAAACCAGCATCACAAATGTTTCTCTTTCAACTTGGGTTCAAGTTTGTTCAGTTAGTTACCACATTATTATTTAAAAACAAATGTTTTATCAGAGAAATACTAAGTTAGCAATATCCACCTCCATAGCTCTTCAAATCTTGACATGCCGAATGCTGAAGGCATTTGCACAGTTCTAAGGAGAAAAAAATGACATTTATGTATCACCTGTCTGCGAACCATTCAAAAATGGTTCCTCTACAATGAACTGCACTGTGCGAGGACTACAGTTATGTGCCCAACTCTGCAGCAGTTCATTGTTTTTAAAGTATAGACCTTGGAAAGGACTGTGTGAATAATACAGTCACAACTGTGAGGGAAGTGGGGAAATGTGTGAGGAGGTAGAAGCACTGTGGTAATATCACTGAGCTAGATGTTCTGGGGATATTGGTTCAAATGTCATTATAGCAGATAGCGAAATTTGAATTCAGTAAAATCTGGAATAGTATACTAAAAAAAAATGGTGACTACAAATGTGTCAGTTGCTGTAAAAACAAAATCGAGAGCAAAATTTGCTGTCCTCATCTAATCTGGCCTACGTGTGGCTCCAGACCTAAATCAATGTGATTTATTTTTAATTGCCCTCCTGGCAATTGGGTGTAGGCAACAAATGCTGGTCTTGACAATGACACCCACATCCTGTGGACAAACGGAAAAAAAATGCATTTCTTTGTATTAGTTTAATGGAACTGATCTGTTTTAAATGCGATTGTACTCTCAATTAATTGAAATCGCCATACAAATGTGTTAAGAATTTATATGCTGATGTTTACATGGCATAATTTCTAACTGCGATTATAGCCTTTGTACAAACCATACATATAAAAACATTCACTATTAGACAAAAACAATGACCAGAATGCGTTACTAAAGAATATTATTAATTCTGCATACTGTATAGAAACCGTAGAATGAGGGAATTATAATGGCACCACAATGACCATTTCTCCCTCAATTTTTGTAATATATAACTCATCACAATCTCTACCTTATCCACTTAAGTTTTCTTTGTGCAACTGTCTTAATTTCATATTCCAAAGACTTCAAACACAAAACAAAATGAATAAACATTGGCTGACAATTCATTGCAGTACTGACAGAATGCAGTACTGCTGTAAGTGCTGTCTTGCAAATAAAACATCAATGTAAGACGCTGTTTGCCCTCCAACATTGTAGTAAGACCTTATGTCAAAGAAAAGCAGAAGAGTTAGTCTCTGGTGTCCTGTCCAATATTTGTCGCTCGCCTAACATGACTTTATCAGATTGCGGGCTACATTGCACAGTTGCTACATTTTGGAAGTGCTTAATTAACTGTGAAGTAATTTGGGACACCCTGGGGTCACAAGAAGCATTGTTGTAAACACAATTCTTTTCTCTTCTCTTTCAAGGGTAATTAAGCTGAATTCCACCATATCAATCCATTCCTGTGCTACCATTGTTTAACCTTCACTCTGCAGAATGTACTTTGCCCACCCAAATCTCCAATTACAAGAATCACTGTGTATCCTAGAAGCTACTTGATCAGCTGTATCTACTTATCCACAAAATCTACAATTTTTTTTATTTTGTTGCATTTGTTGTATATTCATACGCTAAAGATAATTATCCATTCAGTATGTGTTCTCACTCATTCTGAAAAAAATCACAAAAATACAGATTTTAGAAATGATATTCGCAAAAGACAATCTGATCCTTGAGATCGAGTGCCTTAATCATATTTGACAATGTTTTAGCTTCTGCCATAGTTATTGCAAGGAACATCCTAGTGTCTGATTTTTCCCTTAAATGGTTATAAGCAAGAACCTCTTCTAAATATTCCCTGTATCCAGAAAACTGTGATAAAGCTCTGACCTCAAGCAAGCACCACAGTTTAGAGGTAATAAAAAATGTAATGAGCTGAGTAAACAAATCAATGTGAACTTACCCCAAACTCATTAGCTCCTCAGCTAAATCAATTTAAATGCGTTGTCTGTCGCCAGTAAAATTAATTCACTGCTTTCAACCTCAGCTAGGACAAATTTTGAATCTAAGGTCTTAAGGTGGTAGATACAGTGAAGTGATCAGGGAATTTGGGAATCCAGTCTATTGATAGTGAGATAGCTAGTTTCATGTTTTTTTTATTATCTGCTAACCCACAGTTTTCTGTGTTTAGTGCGTAGGAGGATTAAAATGCAATGGAAAGCAAGAAAGAATCTTTACAGCATTTCTACTGTCCAAGGACAGTCCATTTAAATGAAATGAAAGATTCCTTTAGAAAGATAGTAAAGATTGTGTATAGTTACTAAAAATTCCAGGAAAGGCTGTGGGGAGTCTATAGATATTACTGCTTGGGTGATATGCTTCCCCACTACTGGGTTTGAAGGCAGGGCTAACATGTTTATTCCAGTGGGACCTATTCCTGTGAGGGCCTCATACCCCCTGGATTTAACTGGTGGCAGGATAGGCCCATGTCAGGGGCTTAATCCAGCAGGCTTCCCTGTTAGCAGGTTGCAGGAGGGAGTGTTTGGCCCTCCTCAGTGCACCCCACCCCCCCAACCATGTCTCTGATTGACTAGCAGCTGCCCAAGTGAGGACTTCCATCTCCAGAAGTGTAGAAGCCCCACCTCAAGTCTATTAGTAGCATGTGGCACATATGATTTGTCCCACATAATCACACCTTGCTTTGGTTAACGTTAACATTTCATATTGGAGATTAGATTTAATTAGGCTCATCTCAATATTAACGTCAACTTCAGACCCTAGTTAACTTCCAGACATGAAGGCAGCTCGTTAAATTTACATTAGAGCATAGCCTTTTCGTAGAAAATATTTGCGCAGAATGAGAATTGCAGGCAAGCAACTTTACCAGTATTATTCAAAACATTAGTTGATCTTAGCTGCGAGCATTAGAGTGATGAGCAACATTTGTTACTTAGGTTACGCCTTTGAGCATGTGTAACCACAATTGCCATTATCATCAAGTTACTTGGGAAACAGGACGAAGAAGGCTTAGGATGAGTCTGAAATATTGAGGGTCCTATATGAGTTTTCTTATATTTAAACATATATGACAATACAACCACATGTGTAGGTTGTGTATAAATGTTGACACTCACAATAACAGCCCTAACATGTGTAGTTCTCATTTCTATTTTACAAAAGAGATGTAGAGGCATTGGCAAAATGACAAGAATGATTCAAATATGTTTTAGCAGAACTGAATGATTATAACTATTATGAAAGACTGAATAAGTTGGGCTGTTTACTTTAGATAGGAGTTGGATGTGGAATAACAACGGAGATGCTTTAAAATTACACAAGAGTTTGATAGGATAGACCTTTGGAAAATATTTCCATTTGTTTTGGAATCTAAAGCATGGGATGAATTCAAGAGAAATATTTTTACTCATGGAATTGTTAGAATATGGAACTTGTGACCACAGGATAGATGGATGCTATTTGGAAGATTCCCAGTCATCTTTTTCTTATTTTGTGGAATGCTAAGACAGTTGTGAATTGACACTGGAATAAATCTTTTCAAAGCATTTTTTTCTGTCAATCCGTGTGAGATTTTGTGAATCCAGCATTCTTCAATGTGTGAGAATCCAACCATCATTTTGTAAAAGGATAGTGTGGTGACTATATGGATATTGACCACTAGATGGGAGTAACATTACACTGTTCAATATCACTGGTTATGGTATATTTTGCCTGTTTTGAGTTTGATAGGATCGCAATGCCCCATTTTCACAAATCCTGCAAATGAGTGCACTTGTGGAAATCACAGGCATCAATGCCCTCAAAGTATTTGGGTCAGTTCTAATCTGAGAGACTGTCTTTTGGATCATGATCAAAGCAGAAGGTCAGATTATCCTGTATATTTAACAGAAAGGCCTGGGGATTCAGTAAAACTCAGGGTAAAATGTCTGTAAGAAATTGGGTGCACAATATTTGGTTATCCAGCAGCCTAACCAGCGCTCATTAAGAGGAGCAGAAATAGCTGAACGTGGAGCCAGAAGGACAGAAGTGCACATCCTGGCTCACAGTTCTGCCTTCCACAAGCCTTCTATGTTCTAGACCTACTGCTGGCCTCCTTTACACATCTTTTGTCCCAAGAACTGTCTCTTGAAATATAGCCACATGTTCAATATATCCAAATAACACAGGGGACTAATATGGCTTAA